GCAAAATCGGGCTGATGAAGCGATTGAGGCTATTAAATCGTTGCGAAGCCGGTGTTCGGAGCAGGCTCAGGAGTCTCTTGATAACATTCTCTTGGATCTCTATAAGGTAGTTTAATAGAGCTTTGACAATTGACTTGAAAAATAATTGGTGTACATTTTATTGGTAATTGATCAATTGGGGTGTTTGTTGTTGCAGAGATGTGGGAGATTGGATGATCAAATTGCACTTTTGAAGCATAAATTGTATTTGATTCAACAAGGGTTAGCATTCAATGGGAAACGGACGAAAACAGCGCGATCTCAAGGGAAAAAATTTCAGGTCTCAGTGGAGCAAGAAGCCACTCGTTTGCTGGTAAGAAATTAGTCCATAAAATCATTCAATTGTTCAGTTGGTAATAAATTTATTAATATTTTAAATCACAACAAATTCTAGCGTGATACGGTCTCATGTTACATAACATCACCCCTATATCTTACTTTATCCGAAAAAACTGTTACATTTTACCTTTTTACGTGTGCCAATTAACATTAACTGTCCGTAAAGTCGTTCAATTGTTCAATGGTACGGAGTAATAATTTATTAATGAATACGACAAATTCTAGCATGATACGGTCTCACTAGGTAAATTCACCCCTCTATCCTACTTTAACCGAAACAACGGTTACATCTTACCTTTATAATTGTGTCAATGTAACATTAATACGGTGTATGTCTAATTAAATGTTCGGAAATTTATCACATATTATGTTAAATAACTCCTACATCCTACTTCATCCGAAACAATTGTTACATTAAACCATTCTACATATGCCGTGTAATATTAACACGGAAGACGTATAAATGTATAATTGTATGTTCGGAAACATTTATTATATTTATAATAAGGTCCCACATTATTATATGTACATAAGTTACAAATGAGGGTCAAAATGGTGTTTGTGGATGGTGACAAAAGTCAAAGTGTAACACTTGCAAAATTATTATTTCAGGGAAATCTAGGATGGGCACTGATGCAGCAAAACAACTATGTAGAAGCAGAGGATGCATACAGGAGAGCATTGTCTATTGCACCAGATAACAACAAGATGTGCAATCTAGGCATCTGCCTAATGAAACAGGGGAGAATCGTCGAGGCGAAACAGACTCTCCGGCGAGTGAAGCCGGCAGTAGCGGACGGGCCGAGAGGGATGGACTCCCACCTCAAGGCTTATGAAAGGGCACAACAAATGCTGGCAGACTTGGAATCAGAAATGATGCAAAAAGCAGGGGACTCTGTTTCAGAACAGAGCAGGCTGTTTAATACTTTCTTGGGATCATCCTCACTTTGGCAGCCTCAACCTTGCAGAGAAACATATACCTGCCAACCAACCAGCAAAATCCCAGATGAATTTCCTGATGAAAACACAAATTCCAACATTTTATCAAACAATAATCAGAATTACCCACCAAAACCAAATGGGTTTTTACCAATGGGAAATTCTTGGAATATTGATGCTCCCCCATTTTATTCCTCCAAATTGGGGGGAACCCAATTCAATGAGACCCTTAAGAGGACGAGGTCTGGGAGCGCGGCGAGTTTCGGAAATGAGAATAACAATCCAGCAGTGGAGGAGGAGACTATCAAGATTAGTAGTAAAAATGGTAATCAAGAAAGGGAAAATAAGATTTTGAGGAGGTCATTGGAGGAACCACTTAATAAAGTGGCTGATTTTTTGCCTGACGACAAAGATTTTGAGGATGCTATAATATCTGCAGTTCTGAATACAATTGATACAGAAAATTCTGCTGCTGAAGTTAAGAAAATCTCACAGAAGTTTGAGGTGAAGAAGGCTGCTGCAGTTGACAGAAGGCTGAAAGTTTTTCAGGATATAACTTTGTCTTTGAGTCCTAGGGCTTAACAAAAAAAAAAAAAAAATTATAAAAAAAAAAAATTGAGTCTTGGATTGATTTAATTTAATTCACTCAATTTATGCTAATTTAATTAATTTAGTATAATAGGAGATGCACTTATTCTCCTTTTTCTTGATTTTCTTACAATGTTTAACTTTCAGCCTGCTGCTGCATATTGGTAGTAGTTTTGGGGATTAAGAAATAGTTTTAATTGTTTAACCAAGGAAATATTTATATCACATGAAGATAATAAAGTTTTTATTGTCATTTATCTCAATCTCATCTTACCTTGTATATGCTATTTGTCCTTGTTGCCATTATTTGGCCTTTATAGCATTGATTAAGCAAAAAATTATCATTTAGCTAACCGTATGCATTTTAGTTATGGTTTCTCTTTATTCCGTACATTGTTATTAGTTAGAATGTAACACTATTATCGTTTAGCTAACCTTAGGGTTTTCTCTTTATTCAGTACATATTTAGAATGTAGCGCCGTAACAGTTACGTATCTAAAGTTTTTGTTTACATTCGTGCATTCTTAGAATTTAACGCATAATTGACATAATTAATGCAACATTTCAAATGAGATGGAATTCATTTCCTTTATTGCTTAAATTAGGGAACAGTAAAGAAATTCTCAGGTTTTATTTGGTACAGTAGTATATATCAGCATTTGTATTTGTATTCTCTATTCATTCTTGTTTAATTCATACAAGATAATTACAGTAACAGAGACAATAACACCAAGTGCAGCCTTAGAAACTATCTTCTTCCAAGGAAGGGGTGGATTGAACCCCAACTCTGAGAGCTTCTTGTGTGATTCTGCATAATCTCTGAAGAACGCGTATTCATCCTGATATTTTAAACGATCTCTTCAGTTAATTCAGTAGCTAATTTACATGCTCAGAACTGTAAATACACTGTGTTGAAAGCAGTAGATTACCTTAGCATAGAGCTCAACATAGCGTCGAAATCTAGGATCATCTACAAGGGCCTTATCAGTAGGAAGTTTCAATAGCCCCCGTCGTTCACCTCTCAACAACTCTCTGATAATATTACAAGTGTAAGTTGTTTGTTACATCAATGGCTAAATGACATTTTATGATTTTGAACTTACACATAATAGGAATTGTCGAATTTCATAGGGTCTTTAGTCCAAAAGCCTTCGTAACCTGATATTTCCTTATGCGCTACACCCTAGATGTTGTACCAGTGGCAAAAAATGAGCAGATCAGCAAAATATCAACCAGTTTGGTTTATAAAAAATCAGGTGGAAAGAACAAAGTTGTAACATTGTGCTAAGGTCTAATATAGTCTACCAGTGTGTGGCCTCCTGATAGCGCGACAATATCCTTGTCAGTAAATCCCATTCTGTTAAATACTTCTCTCAAATGTTCAGCACCTGTAATCAAATAGATGGTCTTAGTAACATGTCCTTCATACAAACATGTTACCAGAAGATTACTCATATTACTTATGAGATAGTTCATAGTTGTAGAACACACACCGAAATCTGCATTAGGAAGGCGTCCTTCCTCTGGAGATTCTGTGGAGTCCTGTTATTAACATCGATAATAGATAAGAAGTACTACTATATATAACAGATAAAGTGTTCTTGTAACATGTATGTACTGTCTTACCACTCGTCCAGGAACAAAGTCGATGGTTGGGCCGCCTGTGACTTCAACTGCAACAACTCCAGCTAGCTGAAAGAAACAAGGGATGTTTGAGAATGAGCTTAAACAGATTGCAGTGGCTTAATTGATTTAGTTATGATAAAGAACATTGTTGAGCATCTAACACTAGTCTAACCAATGTAATAGGTTAAGAAAGTGAAATTAAGCTAGGTACTTGTTTAATTATTAAAGTTGACATCTAAATTTGTTGACTTATTAGCAAAGGAAGGAATGATTAGAGAAATTCCTTTCTTCTAGATTAGGAAAACTGGTTACATACATTAAATCACAAAAAGAACAGCTCATATGTAGATATTTACGTGTATGATCATAGTTAACTATCATGTTGTCTCAACCCGGCTTCTGAATAGAGGGGTCATTTTGAAAATAATAAATCAAACATTTCAAAAAAGTATACGTGACTGATTATTCTACCTGATAAAGATCCGCATAAGTGATCTTTGGGTGTTTAGCCTTTATTTCTTCTGAAATGAACAACAACAAAAATTTATTAGAGGAAGTTTAATTACTGTTGCTAGAAATTCTTATCCAGTGTTAGAAATAATTAGTTAAAGCTCACCACAAAGAGCAACAGCTGTTTTGAGGCCACGGTTGGCTCTGTGCTCCATTTCTTCCTCGTTTCTGATTGAGCCATTCGGGCCTCCTGTTTTCGTCTTTTCATCATATGTACCTGCATCATGCCATCTACGGCACCAGAAGAAAACATGAAGTAAGAAAACATTGAATAAAAAAAATATTTTTTTTTATAAAAAAAACACATTAGTACATATTAGTGGAAAATTTGATGCAAGAGATATTACATACGCTAAGCGAAGCATGCTAGGAGCACATTGCTTAGTAGAGATGAGAGCGCGAAGGTCTCTTCGAGCTCTCTCAATTTCCTTCAAATATTCGCCATCCACCAACTGTTTTTTTCCTCTTCCTATCATGTTTAATTTGTAAAACTAAGAGAAAATGAAAGTGTAGTCTTGGACTAATGGTAAAATATTGGCTATCAATATATAAGGAGACTCATTCGAATATGAAGAGTTCAATTCAAGTTAAGTGAGGGAATTAACAAAGGCAAAGGATTGAATTAATTACTAGAACAGCCCAAGTAAGGGATTGCTTTAATACTTTTGCTTGCATAGGAGGGAACAGTAAAAATTTGGAATGAGTTTATTCAATTCCCAAGCAAATACTTTAGGTATATATTTCAATTTTTAGGAATATCGTTGTTTAATTGTAAGATTGATCAAATATCCAATTATTCAATTCGTGTTAATCATTTGTCCTTTACGTCTTTCTTTTGAACCAAAAGAAACGTCAAGGGGTGCTATACGTTAATTGCAGTCACCTTGTTATGAAATGACTTATCACTTATGCATAGTAATGGCATAATTTTACAAAGTCACCACCTCAATGCGCCAAAATAATCCAAAGATAGATAGAAAATCATTGCTAAGGCATAAAATGTCACCTAGTGATCACAGAACATGATATCAATAAAACTTGGCAACAAGCCGAGTTTTTCTCAGTACATGAGGTAGGGGACTGGGGACTGTACCAGTTTCGAGCAAGTGAACTCGTGCACATACAATTTTCCCCATTATTAGCACTCCTTAATATTACATATATAATACTAGTACATTACTAGGGAAAGTTTATGATTCCACATTTAATTCAAAATAACAACATAGAGTATTAGATCACAGCCTACAGGAACATCCACTACATATCAGTCTAGGCTGCCATCCATTCATGCATCTTCTACCTTTCAGGCTTTCTTAGAGTGGCAGCATGGGTGCCCTGGGTGAAACCCGAGCTCTGACATCTTCTTGTGTGAGTCCGCGTAGTGTGCAAAGAAGACCTTTTCATCCTGCCAATTCGAAACAGAATGAATATTGATCAGTTCATAATCTGACAAAATAATTCAGAACTCAATTAGCTGCTGTCCATGTCATAAGAGCCTGCAAATCAGAGCCTTGCATAGCTCATTCTTTCGTCCTGCCTGATAATTTACGCAGAATACTCTCTATCACTATTCAGAGCCTGCAGATTAAGCCTTATTGCATAGTTAATACTTAGCACTAGTATTCAGAGCCATATTACAGAGTAATATAGTACTAAAACAGTAAGAAATGGATATGCTGTATTACCTTAGCATACAGTTGAACATATTTACGGAAATCAGGGTCCTCAGCAAGAACTTTGTCTGTAGGGAATTGCACCAGTCCAGGAGTTTCACCCTTCCTCAAGTTTCTGATCACAAAAAGAAACTAAATCTCTTAGTAAACATTGTTAAGACAAATAATTCATATATGGAAATTCTACATATTTACATGAATATGTATCTTGTTAATGTAATAACGTAACTTCCATTGAAAATACAATATAATCTTACACATAATAGGAATTGTCAAACTTCAAAGGATCTTTGGTGAAAGGACCATCAAAACCCGATATATCCTTATGTGCTCGACCCTGTAAGTTAAGTAAATTTAGAATAAGCTAAGGTTTGTACAAAATAAACGATCATAAGCTCATAATTAGGAATAATCATTTTTCCCATGAAAAAAAAAAAAAAAAGTTGTACAGATTGTCAGAGGATTATAGAAAAATTAGCTTACCAAAGTGTGAGCTCCAGATAGAACCACAATATCCCTATTGTTCAAGCCCATTCGATAAAATATATCCTTCAAATGCTGGGAACCTACAATGATACATAGAATCCATACAATTATCAACTATACATGTAAAAGATAGGAATGATACAAAAATAAACCACATAAGATCTCATACGCGAATCTAGCTAGATTAAATCATGGCTTTCAATGCTTGAAAAAAGATCAAAGTGTTTTTATTTACCTCCATTAGGGTTTGGAAGGTCTCCGCGGTCTTGTTGATCCAGAGCATCCTATTTGAACGAACCACAATATATATATTTGTAAGGTACAGTTATGATAATCAATTAATAAGGATGATTTTGAGATACACTCTTTCAAATTTGATGTTGATGTGTCACTTACTGGTCGACCAGGGATAAAAGGAATAACAGGACCTCCAGTAACTTCAACAGCAACAACACCAGCAAGCTGAAACAACAAAAATACAGTAGATGCATGCTGAGAAGTTAGATCATAGTACATGCAGTTTCACCGGCAAAATTATGTAGGTACACTACTTTGTGTTTCATGATTGTTGTCACGTTACTAATTCAAATTGCACAAGTTGACAGACTCTAGCTCTAATTAATAGCTCTAATTAATTCTATCCAAAAAGCAGTAATCTTATCACTTTAAACTCTAAGTGTAAAGATAGATAGCACAATAATAACTCATTATCAACATCTTTTTTTTTTTCTCAATTAGAAATTTACCTGGTAAAGGTCAGCATATGTGACCTTGGGGTGCTTAACCTTCACTTGTTCTGAGACAACAGATGGCCGAAACTTGTGTTAGAACTTAGAAAAGTAACTTGAATACCTCCATACCCATACTTAGGGCCTGTTCTCATCCGTTTATTTTCAGTTCAGTTCAGCTCAGTTGAGTTCAGCTGAGTTCAGTATATGAGAACAGGCCCTTACACACACGCACATATGTAGGAGAAAGGAGAAAACAGAAAGCACAAAGTAGGTCTCACCGCAGAAATCAATTCCATTCTTAATACCGCCGTTGGGAGGGTTGTTCAGTTCATTCCTAATCGAACCATTTACGCCTCCGGTTTTTGTTTTGGCATCATAAGTACCTGCATCATGGAATCTAATACACCAAAACCAACAAATTAAACAAGAATGTTTAGAGGGTGAATGGGGAGGATTAAATCAAAGAAGAAAGATTACGCTAATCGAAGAACAATGGGAGCAAATTTCTTGTTGTTCTGAAGAAGATGATGAAGGTCTTTACGAGCCCCTTCAATTTGTTTCAAGTATTCGGCATCCACAATGTGCCCGGCTCGCGATTGTTGTTGATGTGCCATGGTGCAACACAATTTCTATTGAAACACTTAGTAATGAAAATTAATTAATTAAGCAGATTACTGGAACATGTATACAAATTTGGATTGTCAAGGTTTATATTTATACAAGGTTTGTATAATGCAAAGAAAATTCGCAAATTATTAAACTTATTCCAAGTATTCACGTGCCAATATATTTAAGAGTAATTTATTAATATTGTATAGAACTATTTAAAAATTGTACGAAATGTTTCATTTTCATGGGTGACATCTGATTTTTTTATTAGAAGCATCCAATTCTGTGAAAAAAAAAAGTATGAAGTTGATCCTCATCTATATAATCTAGAAAGAATAAGATTCAATAATCTAATTAGTTATGAAAATAAGATACAATAATGGAAGTACATACCACATGATTGGAGCAATTTACGATCAACTAGAAATTTTCACCACTCATTTATTATGTTATAAGATAGCATCACAAATTGATAAAATGGTGAAATTAATAATTAAGGATACAAATTTGATTAAAATTTTTCACCTACTTTATTTATTTATTTATTTTTTTCGTATATAGTCGTGTTTGGTAAAAAGTTAAAAGATTAAATGTGAAGTTGATTGTGATGTTATTAGTTGATCTTGACTATTTGATTGTATTAGCTAATTTGACCAATTGATTGTACTAGTTGATTCTATAAAAGTGTTAGACTTTTTAAAGTTGTTTGAGTAAGTAATGTGAATGTAACTATTAGGGCCTATATATATTTAGTGTGCAGATTAGATAGCTAACGGGACTAGTTCATGAGCCCTAATCTCTTGTATATATACACTACTCATACTCTAATACAAACTATGGAAAATCATTTCGTGACATGGTATCAGAGCCAAAATCATTCTAATCCCTAAAATCAATTTATATTTTGTACACTCTAATCCCTAAATTAATTTCTATTATAACCAATAAGCTAAGGACATTAACATATTTCATTGTGGTAGGATTTTGGGTTAATTAAATGAGGGTATAATTGTTATTTCACCTTATAGTACTTGAATAAGTTAATGAAAAAGCTCCTTTAAACAATTATTGAAAATGAGCTTATTTGGTGAAATAAAGTCTTTGAATCAGCTTACCACTAAACACCTTAAATCACATGACAATAATTTTATTAGACTATGTAAAATGATGCTTGCAAAGGTGCAATTGATTATAAAAAATTATTGTAGAGTGTACATAAACAGGTTGCAATTGATTGTTGTCTATTTAACACAATAGATTTTTCTAATCTAATTGCACAATAAATAAACAAGATCATGATTAGAATACAAATCTCAGATTAAAGGATATTTGATAATTCATATATTAAGAGAATTAAATTCTATCAAACATTCAAATTTAGTCTTGTCAAGGAACCGAATTCAATTTTGTCAAAAAACTTTGCCAAAGATCAAAGAAAAAGGGAGTTTCGATTCTTTCACTCTCAATCTGAAGACTATACACCCCAATATGAAAGAATTGGGACCAAAATTCATTAATATAATGCTACTTGATCATACCCAATATGGAAGTATCTAATACCATTCGACGTTACACTAGCTTTAGAGTATGGCCAATTGAAGGTCAATTGAGTTTCCACTCAATCTTTTATTTATTTATTTATTAGCAATATTAAGATTCTAAAACACTCACAATTAAGGCATTTTTTATGTACACATAAGTTAAATTTATAGTGTTTTATCTCTTAAAATTGAAGTACAACTTGATGAAATCCCATTGTAATCAACTTCTGAGTTATTTCACACTGGAAAAATAAACTAGAAAACATCGTTTTAAAAGTCGAAAGAATTGGCCTATGCATGGTACAATGTCTTACAAGTGTTTATAGGCTTTTAACAATAGGAACAAACTTAGAGTACAACAGAAATTCATATTTTGTGCACAATGCACATACCATAAATTAGATGATTGTTTAGCGACATCACATATAAGCCACTAATTGAATATTAAGGGTTATAACGTAACGCGGATGGGTAACCGTAATGAGAAAATGGTATTAGTATTACTTTTATAAACAAGTAGAATTTTTTTTTTTTTTTTTTTAATATTCAAACAAAAGAAAAGGGGTTACTCCCTCAATTGAACAAATAAATTGGCGTTCTTATAGATAAAATAAGGTTACCCTCATGAATAATTAAGATTACTCATATTTTTGGATACAAGTGACATGTTATATGAACAAATGTGACCACATCATGGATATGATCAACATCTCAATTATTTTTATCACCTTAAACTTTATTTAACATGGTTTTCAAATAATTCTAATTAATCATTTAAAGTTACCTTAAAATTTCAACACTTTATCATTTCAGGTGCCTAAAATATATCACGAAACAAATTTAACGTTTTTTTTTTTAACCAAATTAGTATTACGTTGTCTCAAACGAACTCTCAAATCAAATTTTAAAAAAAAAAATAAATAAATAAAAATTACACTGGCTAATGACTACTCCAGCAACATATTATTGCATGCTATCTCCAGCAACATATTGTTGTAGACTTTTCTCTGATCTCTTCCGTTTAACTATCTCCAACATTCCAGCAACATATTGCATGCTATGCTAATAAGTAGTTCCGAACAATTCTATAATATTGTATACAAGTTTTTTTTTTTTTTTTTTTTTTTATCATATACAGATGAATGAATAGGTTGGGACTAATTGTACCAATTTCAATTAAGAAATAAAGAAATCTCAAATAAAACTTTGAAACACTAGAAGTTATAATTAGCATTAAGTAATAGTAGTACATCCTAGCTAGTACATCTGGACGTGCTACCATTTATATAAAATAGTAGTAGTACATAATACTAGTACAACTTTAAGGGAATTATTCTAATTAAACTTGAAATCTCAAATACAACATCAACACCATTAATTAATAAGGATACATACTACATACAACCAAACCATAGTACGTACTACAGATATATTAACATATACGAACATCCATATATAAGACATATCAGTCTAGCTTATTAATTAGGTTGCCATATCATGCATGAATATGCAATGACTTCAAGCTTTAGCACCAGCTGGGCTGGGTGGGTGAAACCCGAGCTCCGACATCTTCTTGTGTGATTCAGCATAGTGCGCGAAGAAAGCTTGTTCATCCTGCCATTGTTAAACAAATTATTCTTGATCAGTTCATTTGACAAATTACCAAGTATCATACAACTAGCAAATACTAAGATCCATGAATTTGCAAGTAATGTCGACAGTCTCAGCTCAACTCAGCTTAAAAGAACAGGGTCTTAGACTTTTTTTTTTTTTTTAACAGAAATAGGGTCTTAGACTTCACAGCCTTACATTACATAATTTAATCGAATAATACTACCACGAACCCAATAATATTGAAATAAATCTAATAAATAATGTTCTTTAATTTATGAGAGTGTATTACCTTAGCATATAGTTGGACATATTTATTAAAAGCAGGATCCTCGACGAGAACTTTGTCCGTGGGAAATTTCACCAATCCAGGTTTGTCAGCCTTCCTCAAGTTTCTAACATATATAAATTTAATAAAAAAAACCTTATGAGGGTAACATAAATTAAGCAATCAAAATATATAATGTTGTAATTTAATTGGAACTAATTAACTCTTGTAATATAATACGTATAATCTTACACAAAATAGGAATTGTCGAATTTGAAAGGTTCCTCCGTGAAAGGACCATCAAAGCCAGATCTATCTCTGTTTGCTCGACCCTGTGATTAAATACGTACAACATAATTAAAGTTTAAAATTGCTTGAACTAGTTATAGTATGTAGGAATTAAATAGTTAAATGTTCTCTTCATCTCATGTAAAAAAGGTGTAGGAATTAGCGTACCAATGTGTGAGCCCCCGATAAGACCACGATATCCCTATCTTTAAAACCCATTCGATTAAATATATCTCTTAGATGTTTGGCATCTGACAAAAATAAAAATAAATACATTTATCAATTATTAGTCACAAATTCACAACAAGTATGATGTATAAAAAAAAATTAAAAAAAAAAAAAAAAAAGTTGAGATCTAATCTCAACATATAAGGGTATGTTCACTTCAGTTTAATTTCAGCTCAGTTCAGTTAAGCTCCAATTAGTTCAGTTCAGCTCTAATCAGTTCAGTTCAGCTCCTAATTTCCTTCTCTCATAAATATTCATTTCACTTAGTTCAACTCCAATCAGTTCAAGTCAGTTAAGTTCAGCTCCTATCAATTCAATTCAGTTCAGTTCAGCTCAGTAAATGCAATTACTTCACATTTTTTGCTAGCTAGAACAATGGTTTTATTGAATCAACTTGTATTAGTGAGGTTTGATTCGATGACCTTTGAATTGAAGCAATATTTATACTTTAGTACTAATAGTCTTATTTCAAAGAATAAAAATAAAAAAATAATAGTCTAGACTCTAGAACTAGTATAAAGATATCCATAAAGATGACGAACTAGTGTTGCTATGTACCTCCATTAGGTTGTGGAAGAGCACCACTGTCTTGTTGATCCTTAGAATCCTATTTGGAAAAGTCATAAAAATAAATTGTAGAGTGAGATAATTGTAATAAAAATGGATATTTAATAGAAAAATAAAAGTACACAAATCATTGAAAAAAAAATTGAAGTTAATGTTCCATGTAACACGACTTACAGGACGACCAGGAACAAAGGCATAGGTCCTCCGGTTACTTCAACCGCGAGCATACCAGCAAGCTACGTCAAGAACAATACAATTAATGAAAAGTGAATTGTACTATATATGTACACCCATTCGTTACCTTTTCTCAAAATAATAATAATAATAATAATAATAATAATAATAAAATAAATTAAAATAAAGAAATAAAAATCGTTACTAATTCAAACGACAAATATTTGGGAATGGAGAGGTAATAATCAAATTTTAAATTTATTGTAGTCAATTAATAAGAAATTTTACCTGGTAAAAATCAGCATAAGTAACCTTTGGGTATTTAGTCTTCACTTGCTCTAATATAAGAAAGTAACAAAATATGTTAATTAGTCAAGTGATAAAAGTATGTATAAGGTAAACGCATACATCCATAAAATAGCATTCTATGTGAGGAGATTTCAAGTAATGAGCTTACCCAAAAAATCAACAGCAACTTTGAGACCATTGTTGGGAGGGTTGTTCAACTCA